TCCTGCCAAATGCTCCTGATTGATGCAGGAGGTGTTTCATTCAGTGAGGCTTCCCTGGCTAGCACAGAGTATGTGTGGAGGCAGAAACCTCCTGCCTCCACAGGAAATAGTTTTAAGATTGCCTTTGCCTACTGCAGTGTCTTTTCCATTCCAGTGAAGGAAGGAGTTGCCCTCTGTGAAGTTCTAGTAATTGGGCTAGGAGATGCAGTCCACCCTTTGGGTCAGGGTGGGCCATGGGGGCTGACTCCTGCTGGGGTGTAGAAAACCTACACATTCATTTTGTGCAACACAAACCATGTCCATGGGGGACTCCCAGGCTTGTAGCATTCTCTAAGGATACCCCACAGACATGGCAGGCAGAAGAAGGTGTGGTAAAGAGAAAAATTGGACTTTATATTTTCCACATCTGCAGCACTCGCGGTTGGGACGCTGTAACCAAGTAGCTGTGATCTCAGCAGCCCTTCCTCTGTGCAGGGGTTTGGTCCCTGAAGGGGTAAAGGTTTGCAAACTACAGTCACTCTGAATGTGAACACCTTTTCCCTTCTTTGGATACAGGATCTTGATAATCTGATTCAGGATATGGACAGTGATGAAAACAAGGTAAGTAAAAGTACAGTAAAGGAACTCCTTTAGCAAGAGCTAAACAGCCCAGTCTTGGTCCGCAGGCTGCATGCTCTCTTTCACCATCTGCTCTCTCATCCTCACTCAAGCCAGAGTTTTGAAGGTCACTTCCTAGATTGTAGAAATCACAGTGAATTCCTCAAGGCTGTGGTGTTTGTGACCATAGAGCTGTGACATGAAGGTGCTGACTGTTATATCCCTATTAGTTCCTTGACAGTCCTCAGAGTGCAGGCAAGGCGGTTGTTATAATGGGAGGAAAAGGATTTCAGAGAGGTGCGTTGGTGGGTTTGTTGGTTTTGGTTATCCAACTTTTCACATAGGTGCATGTAAGTTTCTAGTAATGGCAGACAGTTGATGAGGAACAGCATACCTCCAAGATGGCCATTTCCCCTTATTGTTTCAGGATTATACTATTTCTATTGTGGTTGAGAGTTAAGTGATAAAACTTCTCCAATTCTCATACACTTTTTTTCTTAGGGGAAGTGAGGCCTAAACTACTTGGTTTCTTTGTTAGTTTCATACCAGCCAGCCAAGCCCCTGGAGAGTCACAGATAAATATGTGAGCTGTAGATGCATGTTTATAGATGAAGAGGCTGTGGCTCAGCGTTTGTGGATTGTCATAGGTCCTGAGTGGCATAGCTGGGAATAAAATCTTAAAGATTTGTGACTGGCCTCTGTCCTGCTCCAATGGACAAGCTCACTGTTGTATGTAGATTGAAAAAGGGGCTTTTCATTCTGCCTTTATCTAAGATCTATCATTGAAAGATGTGAGCTGTTCTAGAACGAGCCATGGAAGAAAATTACTGGTGTAGGCTTTTTGCTACGAGGATATGGTAAATTAATGCACAAGATAGGATTCCTGATGCTAATTTCATGGTGGCACAGTAAAGGAGTTCCCACAAGAGACAAACTTAATAAAATACAGCTGGCTATCCATCTTTTACACTGGGATCTGCTCCATGCCATACTCTGCTTCGCAATATGCCGCTATTACCTTGTACAACACGCTTCTGAACTAGGTATTTCCAGTGAATCCTTGCTTAAGCTTGCCCTGTAGTTTACTACAGCTTTCTCACCAAGTTCTGCCTGCTTCTTCTGCTTCAGATCCAGGCCTACGTGATGTGCAACAAGTTGCGTTCTGCCTACCTAGTCTCGGTGAGACAGGAGAAGACCAGAGCAGTGCAGCTGGTCCAGCATGTGCGACAGCTGGCTGAGAACAGCGGAGATGACGTTGTGAAGGCCATCTGTGCCCAGTGGCTCTCAGTCCACCAGCCCAAAATGAGAAATCGGCTTCCCCAGGGTACCAGGAAGTAATAAGTAATTGACATTCACCATCATACAGAAGGGGAAGGCTTTAACAGAGCTTAAAGGCGTGTGGTTCAGCAGTCTCCTGGTAAAATGGAAGTCTCTTGACTGATGTTGATGGCAAATGGATGCTGCTAATGTGCCTCTGGTGAAAGGAAGGGAACTAAATTACAAGTGCCAGTCCTGTATTTTGACAAACAGTCACTACCTCAGGGTGTTTTTTGGCTATCTTTTTGACGGGGGGGGAAGGAGGAGGGCAGTTTCAAACTGAACAAGCAAGAATTTAGCCACATGGAAGAGAGCAATTCTGTTTCTGGTTTGGGGTCTTTTGGGTTGTTGGGTAGGGGGGGTGGTATTGATACTTTTTTTTTTTGAAAGGCGCACTGAACTTTGTGTGTGCTTTTTTTTTTTAATTTTTATTCCAGAAAACCTATATAGAGAGGACAGAAAAATCTCATCAACTCAATGTAGCCTAGAGTATAAACTTTTTGTGATTATGGGTTTCCTGTAAACTTTTTCAAGATTGGAGAGATCTTTTACAAAGACTGCAATTCAGAGATTTTTTTTAAGCCTCTAATACAAACCATTGCTACTGTTCCCCGCCCTGTCCTGCCTAGTACAATGTGCCCAATTTCTGTAGCTCATCTGAAGAGGTAGGAACTGATTCTTCATGGCAGATTTCTACTTAGCAGTCACACTGGCTGATGCGTACCTTACATGTGGCACTTGAGCCCTTATGAGATGGATGAAGTTACAAAGGGCGTATCCTGTAAGGGGAGCACAAAGGGAAAATAATCCTTTAAAATAGTTGAAAAATCACATACCTCTTTCTTTGCTATGGTAATATCCAATAAACTGTTGCGATGCAGCTTTATCACTGAACAGTTGCCTGTAAACTTCCACAGTTTTTCATCAGGTATAGCAGACAATATGGATAGAGCAAGCTGTGGTAAAATTCAGCAGGTGGGCTCTATCCCTGTAACACAGGGATTTTTTTTGTTTCTTCCCAGAATAATCTGTCCTTACAGATTAATCTGTACAACAGAACACCAGACTAAATTTTTATTAACTGGACATACTATATAGACTATATTGTCATGCTTTGTTCTGGAAGTGTTGGGTTAACTCAGTTTTATGAAAAAAGCAGGCATCTTTGTGTAATGGTTGTACTCAGGGATGCTGAAAAAAGCATCTGCTTCTCTGCAACCGTGACTGGGACATGAGAAACGGGCAGAAGAATGGTAGACGGTAGTAGGACCTTCAGAAAGAAACAGAACAAAACATGGCACTCCACAGGAGTTTGTGGTTGCTGTTTACATGTATTTCAGCACAAGAGGTGTAGGAAAACTAGTTTGCTTTTTTTGTTAAGGAGTTTAGTTGTTTACTTCAAAAGAAACAACGGGTTTTCTGAAGTGTAATGTAACTGTAAATAGGTTTAGTACGTAAAATAATCGAGACTGTCTAATAAGAGTTTTGCACTATCCCCAAGCTCACTGTAATGACAGAACAGGCTTCCATGGTATTGGAAAGGACTCGGTCCATCTCCTTTAGTGTTTCATGAGCAGTGCCCCTCTGACACAAATGCCTCTCTTGGAGGTGATCTGTGCACTAGAGCAGGGCTAGAACTGCCTTGGAGCGAAGCAGTCAGAAATGACCACATCTAGCTTTCAGAATCGCCTGACCACAGATTTGCATTATCTCATTAGCGAGCAGTACTAATGAAAGCTGCTTTTGTTTTCTTGGCCAGACTGACCTAGCTTTCCATCAGATTACAGCCATTAGGCTAATCCCAAAATGTGACGCTATCCACGTCTTCGATCATTTGCAAATCTCTAATTATGGGGGGGAGGTTTTACTGTTTGTGGGCATCCAGGTCTGCATTGCTCTAATACCTACTTTTCTGCTCGAGTTCCTTCAGAGCACGGAGAGTGGAGTTTGCCATGCAGACTGGTCAGTTCTCTACCTGCCTTTCTTCCTGACCTCTTTGCACTGTACCTGATGCACTTTATGTAGTGTTTGTTGTAATTTGATGTTCTTAACCTGCAACAGTAGGGATCTTTCTCTTGCCAGCAGAACTGGAATGTTGATCCTGACTAACCGCCTTGGGTCACCGATAATGCAATTATCAAGGGGCTTTGAATTTCTAAGCATCAAAAAGGGATTGAGTACTGCCAGTTACAAAGAATTTCTCTATTAATGACCAAGGTTTGTTTACAATGAAAAAAGAGAATAAAGTATTATGACTGTTAATATATCTTCTGTTTGCTTTTTATCTCAGCATAGCTGGGGATCTCCTTTTAGATCTGTATTTTGCTTTTGGCTGTGCTTAACAGAGTAATTAGAAGGGAGAGAGTTGTTCTGTCATGCAAAATCTCTCTCTGATACAGTGTCCCCGACATTTAGATCAAGTGGAATATCACATCTTTAGAAGTCCTCCCAGCAGCTAGGTAGCTACCTCAGCCTCATACGTGTATTCTCATAAATCAGTAATCCTCTTTAGAGAGCTTTGCAAATTAATCTAACTTCTCCCTTACAAGCCTCCCTTTGAGGCAGCTAAATGAGCTTTAGTAGTTCCTTCATTTTACAGATCAGCCTAGAAGAAGGTATAAATGACTTGCCCAAGGTCAAAAAGGGTGGGGGTGGGTCTATGGAAGCATGTAGTTGTATTTCCTGTGTTAAATCTACAGTCAGGCTTCTTTCAGAAGAACATTGACCTGCAAGGGCAAAGTATTTCATCCCAGAGACAGTGTCTGTTTCTTTTTAAATGGTTTCTGTTGCTCCTGACAGCCACGTTCAAGATCAGAGAATCACATGCAGAGAAAGCAGGCCCAGCCTGGGATGCTGGGTAGCATTCTACTGCTACATGGTAGTTGTGGATTTAGCTTCCCATTCAAGAGGAAGCATAAAGAGGGAGGAAAAAAGGTAGAGTGACAGGGAGAAACACAAAGGGCCTTTAAAATGTTACCCAATCAGAGTTCTCTACCTTAGCAAGGCAGGTGCAGGTAACAGCAACACCAAGCAAACTGATTCAATGTTTCTGAAGGAAGATACAGTCTCCTGTTGCAAAAGGAAAACAGCTTTATTCAGTATTGCTCAGAGGTAGCACAGGACTGATCTGCATAGATAGCATCCAGGCAGAAAGAATTAATCACAAAATTAGCATTTGTTTCCCCAGCCTGGCAGTTGGTCACAATGGCATGCTTATATGTGAGTCAAAAAACTTCCAGGGGTGGTGGTGGTGTTTTGGTTTTGGTTTTTTTTTTTTTTTTCAGAAGCAGAAGGTAATCCTATGAGCTGTGGCACTTGTTTTTTAACTATGTAACTCTTTCAGAAATAATCTCTGGTTATGGATCACACTCTAGCAATTTGCACCAAAGCGGCACTCCCACGGGAGCAGTCCCACAACTACACGGATCGACCCAGCTGCCTTTCAGAAGTGCAGGCTGTGTGGTACTACTGCAAGGCCCGTAACTGCTGGGCAGACAAAGGTAAGGATTTCTCTGCACGTCTTGCTTTCCTGTCCTGTAGCTCTCTTTTCTAGGTTCTAAAGTCATTTAAAGTGCAGCTGGGGCAGGGGTGGTTATTGTAAAAACTTTTTAGACCATCTTTGCTCAATGCTTCACAGGAGAGATAGATAGTAATTTCTTTTTAATAAGATAACTTGCCTATGCACAATTGCTTTTAACCTCTCACTCACCTGCACTGACACCTGGGTTCTCAAAAGATAAGCCAGCCCTCAGTTAACTTACTGCAATCAATGGGCATTTGGGGCCAAGACACTTCAGTGGCTAGGGTACAGCTTCTTACAGAGAATAGAGAGAAAAATCATTGATTTCACTTTAAATCTTTATCTGATGCTTTTCACAGAAAGGCCAGCACCTGTTTCTGTGTACCTGAGAGCATTTGTCTTGCATGGAATTGCCAGATAAATCTAATATCCTAAAGTACTTTCTGCCAGGTCCAACAATAGGAACGGAAGATAACCTTATAGACTGTAAGTTTAGAGTCCTACCTTTTTACTATTACTGTTAGGAAAAAAACTTTAAAGGTAACTCTTTGTTACTTCATAACTGAAACCTAAGATTGCAACCTCCGTTTCTATTCTAAAGCCAGAGAACAATAGCCTCTGGCTGTTGTGTGAAATACCAAGCAAAGGTTGCTCCCTGCATCGATGCTCTAATTCTCCAGCTAGGAAGGAGGACTGGTTGCTTACAAATCTCAGTCCTCAAGTGTAATATTCCAAAAATTCACACTTGATTGTGTCCATAGAGCCATCACTAGGGCAGCTGAAGTATCACATTCTAGACTTGGGGTCTCTCAGCAGTGCCTTTCCCAGGAGAAGCATCGCTGGGCTCAGCCAGGTACACACTTGAGGTCTGCACTGCTCAGTCCCACTGGATGCCGAGGAGCTCACAGCTCACACTCCAGAGCTTCTTTGCCGTCTCGTCATCCCGACCCCGTGGAGATACATATGCTGGCTGGCAATCACTGCAAGAGGAACATTTTTTTTCTTATTTTTTTAAGTCAAATATCTCCATCTGCATTAGCACAATGAAATGTCTACGTTAAGATAAGGGAGTTGCTTTCTATCAGCTTAACTTCAAGACCAGCTGAAGAAGGGCGGGAGGCTGTCCAGCAAATGAGCAAGGGTTGGTGCTAAGCCACCTTGAAAAAGCTTTCTTTCGAAAGGGCTAGGGAAGAGCCTCTCCCAATGGCAGCAAGAATGGGCAATCTGTTGTCAGCTCTTAAAGAAACCTGTATATCTTTACTATATACTCTTCAGTGTACATTTTCATTAAGACCACTAAAAAGGGCTATAAATGTTAACCAACTTCTTCAGGAGCACCTTTTCTAACAAACAGTACAAAAAAAAGCCACTCAAACAGCCTTTCATTCTGCACTATTTATCCTAGCCTATTCATGCCACTGTATTGCCATTGCACAAAAGGCAAAGCTGCCCCAGAATAATAATACCGTAGTAAGCATGTACGGTTATCCCCTTTTCCATTATCCTCTGAACTGTAGCTCCTTTCTTCTCAGCTCTTGCACTCAGACAGTGCTCTGTCTGGAAGAGCGATCATCTGTTCTCATCTGTAATGCTAGATGCTGCAACAGCACGGGAGTTTAAGGCAACAGAGGAAACTGCATCTCGTAAGATTTCTACCTAGCCTGCTGTTTTCAGAGCTCCAAGTGCACAGTCCCTGAGGGTCCCAAAATTACTCTGGTGGACTCCCCCTGTCTTGCTATGGCATGCAAATTCTTTTTTTTTATGTTGGTACTTGTGCTTTACATACTATTACCTGGAAAGCGAAAAGGATTTTAGGCTACTCCAATGTAAATCATGAATTACTGTTGCCGCTACTCATTTCCCACCCAGTCCAAAACTCCTTTCTTTTATGAGTTTAAAATCCACCAAAGTTTTCTCTATTCCAGCACATAAATGCTCTGTTTATATCCTGGGGACAGACAGTCATCCAGATTGACATCTATTTATATATTCAAGCCTGATTAAGATGGTACAAACTCCCATGTGAAGATCAGACTAAGTCATTACAGAGACTAATCTGGTCACATCACATGAGGAAAGCTCTGCCAAGACACAAAGGCTCCAACACTATCCATGTGAGGGGAGAAAGAAAAAAAAACAAAAAAAAAAAACGACAGACACTAATTTTCACTTTCATTTCCCCAAAACCAGCGTTGTTACACTGGTCTATACCTGGTGGGAAGCTGACAGACACATCTGCAGGAATCTGTTCAAATGGCAGTCTTCAAATCTAGGATAATGACGACCTGGAACTGCTCTGGGCTGTAGTTTTGGTGAGGGGGAAAGGCATGGCTATACAGGGTCTTGGAGTAAGTCAAAGTCAAGAAACAACAGGTTTTGTAGTGGGAGCTACACAAGACAGTTTGCAGGACAGGGCGATAACCACCCCAGCAGGAGTCCCTCCCAGCTTATGGGGCTGTCACACTGGAGAATCAAGTCATTTTGTCACATGCCAGTCCTGAAAATCTTGGCCTCCTAGTTCTGCAGGACCATCAGCCCTTCCCGCTCCATGGGAGCACAGGCCCCTTCTGCTCCAGTGGGGTAAAACTACAAAGAGAACCAAAGTGGTCTTCCCAGGATTGACTCAAATGACTTCATTAACTGAACAGCTCTACTGAAAAGTGATTTGCCCAAGTCTCAGGCAGATAAGGATTAGAGCTCTGAGCATGTGACAGCCATTGCACAGTGATATTCCCAGCACAAGGACCTGCAATTGTAGGAAGTGTTGCACAGGTCAGGGATTTCTCCTAACACAATATCCACTGCAATGGGACCTGGACGGGGTAATGCTCTAGTATTTGTCACCCTCAATCTTATCAGCCAGCCTCTTACCCAGTCCTTTCTTAACAAAGAATGACAGTAAGTCTAATTTTCCCCAGCCAACGAGTTTGCTGTGCACGGTATATCACTCCTTCAGCTTGCACCCACCTGAAATACTGTCCTGTCACAGAGTCTAGCTCCTCTGCTACTGCACAGTAGACACTGGTCTGAGCTCCTTCCTGAGGCGTCTTCAAGAAGAATGAGAATATCTTCCACAGCCACGTCATTACAAATGAGTGCCGGACCAGCTCAGAATAGACAGAACCAGGATGGAGAACATTTGCTGTGACTTTAGTGCCTACGGCAAAAGAAATAGTTCAGGACAAATCTGCATGCATCGAACTGCCTTTTAAAAAAAGGGTAATATATTCCCCAATTCTACCTGCAGATATTCTGCAACTTAAAGGAGGAGTCCAGGCATGGATACAGGGACACTAAGTGAAGTCCTCTGCACTTACTGCTTGCTGGAGCATCCCCCGCTCCCTTCCAGACCCTGCAGTTACCACATGCCCTCTGCAAAACAATGTGCTAGAGGGCCTGGGTGCTACAACAGCAGCAGTTCCCCCATCAGGCTTTTGAGAACACTGGCTTCTTTGGATTTACTGTAATACTAATTTCCTAGAGGAGACGCTGCTTCTGTTTTAGTAAAATAAATACTACTTAAGTTTATGAAAAGGACTGAATGACATAGCTGTGGCAGATGTCATGACTTAAGAGGTACTGTCTAGTCCTAGGCTTCTGTTCTACAGCACATCAATGTTTAAGGCAGCTGAGTACACATTAGCTTTTCTATTGGAGACTGCAATTGTAGTTCAGCTCCTTCTGGTTTTTTTCAGCCTCCACCCAGATACCACAGTCATCTGCATGGGTGCAGCTGGTTTATGACAAGCACCAAAGAAAAAGGAAATACATTCAGCTGTGCCAAGCGACTAAACTCCTCTGCCCTGTTGTTGTAAAGACAATCAGTGTTTTAAGTCTCCTGGTTCCACAGACAGGAGGTATGTTCTTCCTGCAAAGAGCTGTCAATGACCCTTGCCACAAACCATTTCATTTCTCCATAGCTAATTTCCAGACCTTTCTTCAATCCACTCTCCTCATCCCTGGTGCTCAAAAGCCAAGCAGAAAAACACTCTGCTCCCCTCTGGGACTTGCCTTGCAGCCGCCTTGCCAGCTCCCGAGTGAAGAGCACGTTAGCCAATTTGCTGTGACAGTAGGCAAGGCCACGGTTGTAGCTCCTCTCACCGTGGAGATCATGGAAGCGGATTTGGCCTCCATGATGAGCCAGTGAGGACACGTTCACTATGCGGGCTGGGGCAGACTGCTTCAGGCGCTCCAGCAACAGGAAGGTCAAGAGAAAATGACCTAGGGGTGAGAGAAAATGTCATCCTCCTCTGAAGGGTTCCCCTCCTGGAATTTCAAAGTACTTAGAACGTATTCCTTACACGTCGTATCTTACTGCTGCCCTTGTTTCCAGTGCAGGGAAAAGAAGGCCCCCCTGAATCAACAGCTAGGCTTTTCTGGGGCCGCTGAGTTCCGCTCCTCAGCTCCAAAAAGCTGGAGCTATCATTTCAAATGTCCCAGGTAACACATACAGATACTTAAACTGGATCCACAATAAGCAAATGCATTGCATTGCATCTCCAGAACGCTAGCTCTGGCCTTCCATTTTTCCCCAAGAAGGAAGGATGAGGAAGACAAAATCTGAAAGCAGGATTTTCTTCTGGCATTTTGCCACAGGTATTGAATGCAAACATGACTCCACTGGCCTTACCAAGGTGATTGACTCCCAGGTGCATCTCGAAGCCATCAGCTGTCTTGGAGTAAGGGCATAACATTACCCCAGCATTATTAATGAGAATATGGAGTTCCTTCTCCTCTGCAAGAAACAACAGACATCCTTAAACAGGGAAACAGAGACCGAACACACAAGAAGGTGGCACAGGTCAGCCAAAAAAACCCCACGCCTGTCTTGAGTTGCAGCCACATGGCCTCAATAAAATGATAAGCCTCCTACCACAAACTATCTCATGGCCTCTGACAAGCCCCTGCTGTGAACCGCAGTACCTAACGTGGTACAGAGATATGCAGGTCAGGGATGTGGCATTTGCTAGAAGAGCAGACAGCAGTCCTTGGTAAAATATTCTCACTGAAAAGAAGGATATAGAGGCTGTACCTGCTAGAAATTTCTCAGCAAACTCCCGGATGGACTTCGTATCAGCCAAGTCCAGTTTTTTCACAATGACTTGCTGGTTCCCTGTCTCAGCTCGGATTTCACTGGCTGCAGCTTCTGCCTTCGCTATGTCTCTGCAAGCGACAATCACCCTCGCACCTGCAAGGGGGGACAAAAAGCAGAAAACAGCAGGTGAGATCACCGGAGCACACTGGATGATCAAGGCTATGACAAGCAGGCCGATTATGCACAATGCTTACAAACAACGTATTGTTTCCTTAGGGAATTGGCATCGATCAGGGGGGCAGCTGGGGGGGACACAGCCTTTCCTACTACGTTGTTAGATCCGATCCAGCCCCAAGCTGTTTTCAGACCAGGAAAATGCACATCTGCAGTGCCTCTGTCCAGGTTCTCCCAGGTCAGGAGTGCGTACCACAACACTGGTGTGACAGGCTTTTATCTGCCCCTGTAACGGGAACGTCAAGCCAGGAGCACATGAAGATACTTGGATTCCAGCCAGAGCGACTTCTAAATGGATTGCGAACAGGTAGTGTAATCTCCTTACCAGTTACCCAAAAAGCACTTAAAGCAAATTAGCGTAAAACATGAATAACTAAAGCAGGCAGCAGTGGACCCACGGCATTTCCCAGCTTCATACAAGCAGAACCCAGCGATGATGTCAGGAACTTCCCCAGTCCTCTCAAGCAGCTGTGCCACAGAGCATTTTCATGTCACAAGGCACATTTTTGGAGTTCAAGCAACGAAACCAGCTGGGGAACAGCTGAGGGGCTTGCACCCAAGCAGTTACAGCCTCTGGAGAAGCAACGCTTGGGCTCGCCTGAAACCGCCTCGGAAATCAAATTTTGCTCAAATGCGAGCATAAAATACTCCTCCCTCCGACGCAGAACAGGGACCCCTGCCGCGCAGGCACGCGCGCAGCCGCCGCGCAGGCACGCGCGACTTGCCTCTTCGCGCCAGGTCTCTGGCAGTCTCCTTCCCGATGCCTGTGTTGGCTCCCGTGATTATCGCCACCTTCCCCTCCAGCTTAGCTGCTGACTTACACTGCCCTCCGGCGACATACCTCCTGCGAGAGAGGGGGGCGGCGGTCAGGGGGCGCGGCCCGAGGGCACCTTCCCTCCCTAGGGGGCTGGGGTCGGGGCTGACCCCCCCCGTTCCGCCCCCGCGGTCGGGCTGGCCGCTGTGCTCAGGGCCTCGGGGACTCACGAGCGTCGTTAC